CCAAGTTACGAATGTGTGGCCTGAGAATGCTCAGAAATCCGATCGCGATCTGCAATATTGTTAGATATCACATCATCCTTTTATTCTCGGCAATCGATATTAATTAACTAAGAGAGAGAGAGAGATTGTAAAATTAATTATACGATTAATTTTTCTCGACTCGCTCGACGCTACGTCCGATTGCATTTAACGCGGGACGAAGTTTCCTTCGAGTGGAAATTGGGCGGTGGAGAAGATCGGAGATCGATGATTTCGGAGATGAAACGAGCAACCCATTTCACTCACGCTAGACTGAATCAGCATTCCGCCGAAGGCTGAAGGTGAGGAGAGATGCGTTCGTTCGTCTTTCGTACGTAGTTTCGTATACGTCTCCGGAGGGGCGGGAAAGAGAGCGATCTTGGAGATTAAACGATCGGATTCCGTCGTATCCTTTTCCCCCTCGATGGCGGCGAATCCGCGAAGCCGGTGGCGTGCCCTCCCGGGGCCAACAAATTAGTACAATTAGAATCCCTCAAAGAAAATTGATAAATTCCACCGGAACAATTTCGCGACTCATTTCACTAGGGCGCCCTTTGTTGTGCCTTTGGATATCCGGGGAATAGGTGACGCGAAATCCACGACGGCGAAAGCTTATCGCGACAAATGATCGCGAAATTAACGGCAAATTGACAGTTCATTTTTATCTAGACGTAGTTCCCTTTCTCTCTTACATTAGATTAAAAAGAATGTTCTAAAAAACGGAAATATTTAGATGCGTGCGCGTTTTTCAGTCAGACCATGTATCACGTCGGGCGAATCGTCCGAGAAGATTCGCTCATTTTTCTACGTTCTTCACGGAATGATTGCAACACCGTTTCCAAGAGCGTGCGAAGTAACGAGTTCTTTGCCTACCGTGCGAATGCGCTGTAATACAGCGCTCTTATCCGAACGAGATCGTCGGCGGCCACGCAGGAAAAGAAATTAAAAGACTCGGCCGACAATCGGACGGACGGGGGCACGAGCAGCTCGCTGCGTGTTGCACACGGGTGTTCTTTTAATTGTATGCACGTAGAGAAGGCGAGGAACGCTAATTTCAGCCTGCCCGCCTAACATCCGTGATAGTCATTAATTCGCGCCGCGAAAGAGGAAGCGAGGAACATCGATCTCCCCGCGATGTATTTATTTCCGACGACAGCCGCCCAATTTTTTACGCCAGGAGCGACAGAGTATCCTGCGACGAATCTCAAGACTGGTCTTCTGCTTTAGAAGAGAACCGAAGGAGCCTAGCACGCGCGATCCGAGGGTTTCTACCCTTTCGGTCCCTCGCGCTCACCGTCCAACCCCCTCTCCCTCCCTCTTCTTTCCCCCCGAATTTCTCCTTGGCTGCGCTCCACCGCCGCTTCCGTGGAGCACAGCAAACATTAAGAGCCTCTAGATTTATTTATAACTACATTTACGCGCATGCCAACCACCCTGGCAACTCCTTCTTCCTCTTCTCGACCCCTGCGAACCGCCACTCCGAATTATTGCGTTTATGCGAACGCAAGGGGTAAGATGCTCCTCGTTTCGCCATCGCACTTTGCCACGAGGGTGCCGTCTTCGAGAAATTTAGAAAGTTTCAATAAAGTTGGCGGCTTTTATCGAGTTCAACCATGTCGCTTCCATGTCGACATTCGCATTAACCCTTTAATTGCCGAGCTTCGTGGGAGGAGCTGCGAAAACGGAGTCGTCGGAGTCAATAAAAATATCGCTCGCGTAATGACAGCTAATGGTTTCTTACTTTTTCTATTATATTTAAAAAAGAGACAAACGCACGAGCTGCCATTTGATTTATCTTCCTGCTGGCTTTGTGTAAATACCCGGAGCAGCTCGCTTTATATATTTCCAAGGTCTTTATTAACCCGACGAGTAATCAAGATCAATGTGCGAGAGACGACTGTATATACCAAGTTACATCGGTGTGACAAGAGTCGACTCTCAACGTTGCCATCTTCCGCGAGAACTTTTCCCGGTTGACGGCCCGTTGCTGATGTTGATATATATCGTCGGTTATATGAGCCCTTCTCTCTACCGCTGCTGGTGGACTCGAGGATTCCCCTGACGGTGCTGCTTGTACTTACATCACGCTACCGCCTCACGGAGAATTATTTGGGCTTTATATCAAACCTTACGACGCCGCACAACCCGAGGAATCTAATTTGAATAATACACGTCCCCGCCGAGAATACTAACTCGTGCAATGCGCGTGTATGCAATGTTCTTCGCCAAATCCGAGGTGACGAATACACAAGGACAACAATTTTGTAGAGATCGTGAATTTTATTTTTCTTTGATTTATTTACGTTAATCTGACTCGATACGTTATTCTTTGTTTATTCGCTATAAGCGTTTTTTGAAAATAAAATTAATGTAATTTTCAGCAGTTTTTATTTCTAATATTACTTTCTGCTAGTTAGGGAGAATAAATTCAGAATTTGCTATTCACGACGATCACCTAATTTTTGTATTGATATTTAATATAATATTTCATTCTCTCGAGATAAAGAATAATTTAACACTTACCCGGATATGAGATGATCAATAGCGGAGTTGAACACACACAATGTTGATCTGTAAAACGCAAATATATCCAAATTATGTAAAACAATGTCTAGAGTAATTAATATTTTATAAACTAATTATTGCGCACAATTAAATATTTATATCTCTCTTTGAACAAATATTTAATAACAGAAATTAGAGAAATTTCGAAACATTTTTTCAAGTACAAAGTTTTATAAAGTATATGCAAGTAAAAAAAATGCAATTTTTATATAAATGAATATAAATAGTTGTAAATCTTAAACAACATATATTGAAATATTATATATATAAATTGATTTTTATTTAAAAACGTTAATTGTTGTAAACAATTTGTTAGTACTTTAAGTGTACTTTGGATATTTTGAAATAAAATTTAGAAATATTTTATATGCACATATTATTTTATAGTGATGTAAAATGAAAACAAGCAAACAGTTAATTTTATTAATAAAACAAATAATAAATTAACAAAATTTTGAATTGCTCACCCCATGGTTGCTCCATGATTCGATGCTTTCGTCCTCCTTTTCTTCTCTTGTTTGTCTTTTGCTGCTCCTTCATGATATTCGCACAACATTCACTCACGAAAACACGATTAATTACGATCGCGTGCGCATTATTTAACAGAATGCAAAGATCGCACGGCATTTTACATAGCACTCCAAATGTTAATCGCACATGAGGCGTATTTTATTTTATATTATGACATAAGGATAATCACAGTTAGACGAAGCTGCGATTCGTTCGAGAAATGGCACGATTAAATTCACACAATGCTATTTCTATTGTTAACGAAATGGTATACGTACGCACTTTCAAGCGAATAGATACACGAATTAAAGTCAAAGATGAATATTTGCAAGATATAATATATCAAGAATACTATCAAGTATGTGACAACTTATTAAACGCGTCGCAATAATATTCGAATCGATTCAATTTGATATTTTGTTAATGACTGAAAAGTTGGAAAACGGCATCGATTTTCATCATTTTATCTTGTTACTGCAGAGAGAATTGTACGCGAATTAATGGCGAGTTATAAGAATAAAACGTATGATTATTTCATACGCTTTTTGTACGTCGTTTGTCGTTCGTAGTTGAACAGATAATGTGGCAATAACACGCAGCGCGCGGTTTGTTTACGTGCCGTGATGTTGTCATTCAAAGAGTACACGCACGTACGGGTACGGTGACGTGTCAGTGTGCGGTGAGACTCGAGTGAACACACATCGCTCTGTGTGACGTCATATTATCTCTCGAAATACTTATTACAATTAGAGATTATCAAAATACGTGGCTAATTTTTATGATTATTACGTTTCAACTAGCCATTACCTCGCGTAATAACGACTTATATCGTGGAATGTTAAAATTGCTGATGCTGTTTTGAAATTTTTCAGTCATTAACAAAATATCGCGGATATAAATCGAATTGATTAATTGACATATTACGTTTAACAAGTATGATTTTTGTAAACACTGTTATTTTAACGTATCAATCGCAAATTTGACACTTGTACATTAGTGATCTGTTGAAACACATCTTTTGTATAATTTATTCGATCGAAATCTATTGCTTAAATCATCAAAGCGACGGCGAGATATAATCTGACATATTACATTCCATCTATATTTGATTTCAACTTGCATATCTATTCGCTAGTGTTATATAATGAGACAGAAAGCGTACGCATATACTATTTAATTAACAGCAGAGATAACATTGTGTGAATTTAATCGCTCGATTTTTCGAATATAAATCGTCTAACTCTGATTTTTTCCCTTTCACGATATAAAATAAAGTGCGGCCTTGTGCGATTAACATCGGGAATGCTATGTAAAGTGCCTCGCGATCGTTGTATTCTGTTGATTAGTGCGCGCACGATCGTAATTAATCGTCTTTTCGCGAGTGAATATTGTATGAATACCATGAAGGAGCAACAAAGAATAAACAAGGAAAAACTAAAGCATCGAGCAACAATAGAGTAACCATGGTGAGCAATTTAGTTTAATTTATTATTCGTTTTATTTATATTAATCGTCTGCTTAATTTTATAATAATAATTCATCTTACATTACAATGCATATAAAATATTTTAGATTCTATTTAAAAATACTTAAAGTAAAATTAAAATGCTAATAAAATTTTTATAATAATTAGGTTTTTAAATATACATGAAATGTTTCAATATTGTGTTTTAGATTCATAATTATTTAAATTGTTTATACAAGAAAATTAAGTATATTTATTTAGCATATTTTATGAAAGTTTATATTTAAAAAAATTTTCTCGAAAATTCTGTATAATTTGTTTTATCAAATATATATATATTTAAAAGAATGAATAAAAATTTAATTGTGTGCAATAATTATTTTTTGAAATATTAATTATTTTGGACATTATTTTATATAATCTAAATATTTGTATTTTACAGATCAACTTGGAATTCTTCGACTTCATTGTTGCGCATTACATCGTACCGGTAAGTGATAAATAATTATTTTATTTATAAAATTTCAAGGTGATAGAATATTATATCACAAAGATATTATTTCGTAAAGATTTGAATTTTTTATGATGCAGTAGTTTAACTTTCTGCATTATTTATTTGCATAAATTGCTTGAAAGATATATTCAAAAAGTGTTTCTACATTTACAGAATAAAATACTATAACAAAAAAGATAGAAAAATTATTTAAATAAGTAATTAAATAGGTAATTAACACTTAATCACGTTATATATTTGAATTTCTCGAATGCCAAATTATAGGTTTTTTCTTCATATTATTTAGTTAATGTTTTCTTTAACAAGTTTAACATTTTTTATAAAAACTTTTGATAATAAAGCGCGCTCGTTGTAACTTTATCGACTGGCTAAAGGTCGTGGGTAAGATTAACATTTGCGTTGAGTGCACGAGACCAGTGACACGAGGTCGGGAACGCTTTTTCGAACAAAGAGCCGGTCATTGACATTCTTCACTTTCATCGCGCTTTCTTCGAAAACGAGGTTAATGCGACTTTGATACCGGTGGAGATCCGATGGTCCAAGAATAGAATAACGTATGTCGCGATTATCTCGTGCGCCAAAGAGCAGGACCAAAGGCATCATAGACGTCGTGCATCGATTACCGCACACGCGTCGCAAACTTCACGCTTGAGAGGCGCATCTCGCGCAGCTTGGCTCGTTCGACTCTCTCTTCTCGCTAAAGACAGCCGAATCGAATTTGCAAACTTGCAGATTGGATTCCAACTTGCCTATTATAGGGTGCGTCTGTTCCGGTTAAAAGCTGGGGGCAAGGGAATTAATGTCGATACGCTAAGGAAGGCCGAAGGATTACTCCAAAGGCCCGTATCTCATTGTCTTAGATGTTGCTCCCTGCTCTGTACATTCGATCCTTTCCCCCTTCCTCCTCATCGCCATTGCCCTTCATCTTCTCTCGCTTCTTAAAGAAGCTGAACGCGACAAGCGAATGTTAACGCAAATATTAATTATCTATTTTCCTTGGACTAATTACAAATCTTATTTCCGATTCTAAATAAACCTTCTACCTATGCAATTCCCTTGTCGTCTTTATGTACCGCTTCTTCGCCTCTCCGGACAAGTCACGGAAACTTTGTAATGCATTTTATTTATTCACAAAGGCAAATACTCATTTACGGCAGAGACACGGTGAACATTTCGCGACCAGCAAAGTCACTGTACGAGAGTACACTCGCAGTCACTTTATCCTCGACCGCGAAGAGAGAGAGAGAGAAAGAGAGAGAGAGAGAGGGAAAGAGACTGAGAGAGAGAGAGAATGGCCGTCTTGCCAGGCACACCGAAACTCTAAAGCGTAATGCCACAATCCCTTTGATGGAGTTTCTGTAAATGGAGCCGCGTCCAGCTGAGTGCCCACGGGGCGAGTCGCCCTCTGTCAGTCCCTTGGCTCGCCTCAGACGCTTTAGACCGTTTGAAAAAGCGGGAATTTTTAATTTCCGAGGATTACGTTGCCGACCGGAACGAAGAAACTGGGAAAGGGCGGCGCCGATCTTTCGCATACAGCGATTCCGACAGCTATCTCGCGGCTTTGGCTGCCTCCCGTGTTTTCTCCAAGGTCTATTTGCCACTCGACGCTAATACCTTCGCTTCTATAGACCACTTTTTTTTCGCCGTATGTTTGACAAGTGTCCTCTCGTTCTCGGCATATGCACGCGTTGTAATCGTCGTGAAAATATTTTTTATAAAAATCGATCGCGTTTTTCTCGACACTTGGCGTCCTTCGCGATCAATCACGTCTGATCGAATCGTTTCTCGCTAACTATGCCATCTCTCCTTTTCTCTCTCCGAGAACTACTGGCTCCGTCCCAGCGGTAGCCTTTCATCAAGTCTTCATTAGGTCGTGGTAAATGTATTATGACTTCTGATTGAGTGCTGTCGAGCGTTATATCTACGTGTCTATATATAACGAACCACTACGCTTCATGCTTCGATATATATCATGTGGCATTCTCTGCCATCCGATGCCTCGTTTCCCTTCCCATACTCGCAATAGTTTGCATTATTTGAAAATTTTCCTATTTCTTTTATATATATATATATATATATATATATATATATATATATATACAAGGGGAGTAATTTTAAGTTACCCACCCCAATAACTTTCTTATTTTTGATTGAAACAAATGTTTCAGACCAAAGTTGTTCGAAGGGGGAATTGTTAATTGCAAATTACATATTTTTTCTTAGAAACAATTATGTTTTCTTTACATTAATTGATTTCTCTCATTATTTTTTATATAAAGTATTAAGGTAAGATAATTGAAAAATGAATATTTTACTAGATATATTTTATGGTTTATGTAAAATTAAGAAATTATTTCAACCCTCATAACCCTCATTCGAAAAGTACTCTATGAAAAAATACTTTATTATAATGTTTTGGAAAGCCCTCGAGATAAGCTATAAGAGTAAGCAATAAAAAATAGGGATGCCACTTAAAAAATTAAAAGTGACCTTCAAACAATTATCCAAATTCAAATCAATGACATCATCTTATGTCTCTCTTCGAGTCAAGCAACTTTAGTCTGAAACATTTGTTTCTACAATCAAAAATAAGAAAGTTATTGGGGTGGATAACTTAAAATGACATCTTGTATATTATCTACAAACACATACACCGCAATTCGTATCGGTGATATCGCAAATTGATAAAAATGAGTGCGATTAAGATTAGGAGATAACAAAAAATGCAATCCTCCCGCTTCGGACCAATTTACCGGCCTTTTCCGAGAAATATTCGTCACGAATTTGTATAAATGTCAATGGTTCTTCGGAACCGCATCGCGAGCTTCCATAGATTCGCCGCGTTACTTCCGTCGTCGGGACTGACTGTACCGGCGTATCGTTGACACACGTCGCTATATACGCATGTATAATAATTAATGGTACTCGCGTAGGTGTGGTCCGCACACACGTATCGGAGCCGGAGCGCGGCGTATATCTGCGCGACGCGCGGGCAAAGATGTGTAATTGCGTTACCCATCGAATTCAGTTATACGGGCATGGCGAGTCTGATGCATAAAATGACGGGGCCAAATTCAGTTATAGTTCGCTTCACAAAGCGAATACGGCCGCGCGTCGTTAATATCGCGCGCCGTTGCGAACGCCGGTGTCACATTGTTACGACGGAATTTTCCGGGGCTCGAAAGTAGTCATCCGGCAAAGGGAGAGGGAGAGAGAGAGGGAGAGAAAATGGCGAACAGATTGGGAGGACGACGTTCTCCTCCCACGAGATTGTCGCGAATGTCGCGTCGACCAACCGATATTTTCATAATCAATTTACTCAAAGACAAGTATAACTTCTTTTATTGAGATATTTTTAATGATGATGATTGAAAATGAAAAAGTGACAGTTTGCTCTTTGTATCTTTATCGTACGGGAAGGTATTTGTCCGGTTCGAGGGAGCCTAAAGATGCCTAAAGAATTGAATTCCGTCCATGTAGCTATGCGTTAATTCGCTGGTTGGCGGTTCGAGAGTTTCTCCAAGCTGGCTAATAACGCCCATCCCTCGGCGAGAAATGTCTCGAGTTCATTTTTTCCCTCCCCTCTCTACGGCCTGTCCGCCTCTTGTTTTAGCGGGGTGAAAAAAGAGAGACGAGCGCGATATAAAAAAAAAAGCCAGAGCAAGGAAGAGAGATGGAGAGAGAAAGAGAGCCCAATCCGCGCTCTACCTCTTATTTTTCCTCGAAGCTCGCGACTTAATTAATCGCATAACACAGGGCCTAATGAAATCAGAACTCCCATCCCATCTCCGTCTCTATACTCGCCCCTCGCGCTGCTCGTGCTACGTAAAAACGGAAATATTTCCCGGGAATACTTTTCCACCCCCCAACCGCCCCCTTTACCCTCCCGGCCTCTCCTCTCCCCGATTCCTCCGGCGAAAGCCGAGGGTCGGCAGATAGCGAGCGAGAAATTAATTCGGAAATCGATAAATTCGTTTCGACGAATTTCTCTTCGTACGCTGCCGATGTGAAAAAATGAATTATTGCGGTGCGGCGCGTATTATCGTAAGATAATCGGCGATTTCTAAATTCCGAACCGTGCACGAGCGCTATTAAATCGAACCCGAGTGTGGTCTCCCTGCAGAAGATTGCTCAGTTTAGCGGAATGTGTAGATTTCAGTCGGAATCGATTTCTCCGACATTACTTGGTAACCTCGATCCATTGTATGCTCTTTCTCTTTTCACGTTATAAAGCGATTTGCAAAGCATACAGTTGCAATTTCGATTTCTTAGCTCTAATTATTCACGCTAAAATGATCAAACATTTTTTTCTTTTAACGGAAATAGTTAAAGTCGTTCGATCACGAATGTCAAGACGCGAGATCGCCGTTGATCCTCTCAAAAATAAAGGACAGACTTGGGAGAGAAACTCGAAGAATGCCGGATAGTCGATAAAGCGTGCACGAAACAGGGATACGTCAAGTTCCTTCGGGAATCGAGGGTTCGTTTGCCGATTGCTCCTGCGGTGGTATCGAGGGCAAAGCAATTTCTTCACCGAGAGAGTCGATCTTATGCGCGCGTTGCTTCCTTCTCTCTCCAAGAGATTAATTAAAATCTCGAACATGCCGCCGATTAATCAACGGCGCTCGATGCGCCATGTAATCTTGTACGACGATTAAAAATGTATCGTGTCGCTTACTCATCGAAGAGAGTTAAAGTTTGCTCTTCCGATCGAATCGCGAGTTTCTTCAACTTCCTTGTGGTTCGATCGATTTCATACAAAACCGCTTTAAATCAACAAAGCATCGATCGATTATTTGACACGGTTAAAACTGAGGGGCTCCAAAATTACCTTTCAGGTGCGGATGTCTGGCTCTTTGGATTGAAAATCGAAATCGTTATATCACTGTCAATAAAATCGCCTAATCATGTAATTCATTAAGGTCTCGGGACGACTCTGGAGGGGTCGCGAAAGGCGACTTGGAGTACAACGGGTG